ATAATGAAGAGAATGAAAACGAATGGACCATTCACGTTATATAGTCTATTGAAATGATTAATAAGTAGTTACAAAATCGTACCATTTGTCTAACAGAATCGTGATCACTCGTATTTTTTATGTCTGAGTAAATCCCATTAATCGGCGGAATTGCAATCTATAATAAATTGATCTTAAAATCGTTTCATAAGAGGTGACCAGGTAGTCATTTACTATCGTGAGTGAAGTGGAAAAAATCATGACGAATCAGTTTGTTCTTCTTATGCAAATATTTTGTTACATTACCAAAACTGATACGGAGTCTACGAAGAATCGAGAACGAATGCACCTAAATGGTTTCTCGAAGTCCTGAAATTCCATCGAACGTCTCATATCAGTCATATCGTCATATCATCAATCGTTACGATATTCATATCGTGAATATATCTACAACTCAACTTTTGAAAGCGCGTCATTTATATAGAAAAAAGATAGTAAAAGTCGGGACTTCAAAAAATGGTGGATGCGATATCATCAAAAATGAAAAATGGAGTCAATGAGAGAATTACTCGCCAAAATGGTAAATTGAAACATCCCATTCCCTCTGATAACATAATCAAGTACTCATTAATATACAGGGTGATTCAAAAGTAAGCGGCATCCTTTCAGAGGCGTATTCCTTGCTTGAAAATAAGGCAAAAAGTTCCTATTGATAAGGATCCGAAAATGCTTCCTAAGGGAGCTACGGCCCTTTGAATAGGACACCTCAAAGACGGTTTTTTCTCTATAACTTTAAAATCCTTCACAACAAATTTTTAAAAATTGGTGTACGGCATAAACATTCGATGGTAAATAGGACTCCGTATTCGAAATTTCAGAATTTCATTCAGGGGCGTCACATGCGGGAGAGGGTAAGTGTAAAAATATCCCTTCTTCTCCGGATATTCAGGTTACTGTGATTTCGTTTGGAAATTATTTCGAATACGGAGTCCTATTTACCATCGAATGTTTATGCCGTACACCAATTTTTAAAAATTTGTTGTGAAGGATTTTAAAGTTATAGAGAAAAAACCGTCTTTGAGGTGTCCTATTCAAAGGGCCGTAGCTCCCTTAGGAAGCATTTTCGGATCCTTATCAATAGGAACTTTTTGCCTTATTTTCATGCAAGGAATACGCCTCTGAAAGGATGCCGCTTACTTTTGAATCACCCTGTATAATGCAGTAAAAATATACAAGGTGATTCTAAAATAGGTGGTCAAATTTTGGGAGCATATAGAGTGGGTGAAATAATTACGGAAACCTCTGTAACATTTTTTTCTGAAGTAACCCCCAAGAAAGATACAGCCCCGCAAATGGGGGCCTCGGAGAATGATTTTGTATTATTATCTCCAACACCTTGTATAATGAAAATCTGAAATTTTGTCTATCCGCTTACTATTCAGTGCCGGTTCGAATGGGGTCAAAATCACCTCAAAATAAAATACAGGGGTGTCTCAAAATAGGGAGGTAGGGGGTAAAAATATTTTGTTCATTGCAATTTCAGTTTTTTGACATGAAATTATGAAATCTCAGGGCTATTTACATGAAAAAGGTGCTCTTGTTGCATCTCGATAAAATTAACTATTAGCGAATAAATTTTAAAAAAGCTTGTTTTTAACAATATTTTTCATTTTAGTATTTTCAATAGTAATGTATCAGACCATAATCACGAAACTCGTCGTCTATTGTTAATTCATCAATTCCAACAATTAATTCATAATTTCCAAACCCCAAAAACCCTTACAAACCAATTTTCAATCGAATCGAACCATAATCACAAATCTGGTCAGCCACATTGGAGCCGCCCTATTTTTTTCTATCAAAAAGTCCATAACGCGTTGTCAACTGTCATCTGCCAGATTCCAAGTTGATCAGACGATTAGAAGTAGGTGAAAATTCAATTGCAAGATTCGAACTAGATAATTAAACTTAAGTGCATACCAAAATTGCAATTTAAATGAAATCTTGGAAAAATAAATTTTATTCGCTAATGGTTCAGTTTATCGAGATCCAACAAGAGCTCCTTTTCTATGTTGATACCCCTGAGATTTTATAATTTCATGTAAAAAAACTGAAATTGTAATGAACAAAAAAGTTGGGGTCATTTTTACCCCCCTACCTCCCTGTTTTGACACACCCCTGTATTTAATTTTGAGGTGATTTCAACTCCATTCGAACCGGCACTGAATAGTTAGTGGATAAACTAAATTTTAGATTTTCATCATACAAGGTGTTGGAGATAATAATACAAAATCATTCTCCGAGGCCCCCCTTTGAGGGGCTGTATCTTTCTTGGGGGGCACTTTAGAAAAAAATGTTACCGAGGTTTTCGTAATTATTTCACTCACTCTATATACTCCCAAAGTTTGACCACCTATTTTAGAATCACCTTGTATAATCATATTCCATGTAGCATTAGAAACGTTGAAGGGTATAAACGATTTAGAGCAACTGTGAAGAATATGCTTCTAGATCTAGTTGTTGTTCAGGAGTTCTTCCAAAGCACTCTTCAATAATTTGGAATTTGGTAAATATGGAAGATCCATAGGCTAGTCTAGATACTAGATATAGTATTTCGAAATTTCAATTTTTGACTGTGTTCTTTATCAGGATCTCATATTACTATTATTTTTATATCTACATTTTTAATGAGTTTTAATGTGTTGTTCGTGTATGTATTCAATTATTAACTTGTGATGGTAGCTTTCTTTTAATTTTACTGTGACCGTATTTATTTTCTGAAGTCTCTATACACATATACATATTTTATTCTTGATGTAAATTCATATTTTTCTACACTTTGTCAATGAGAATTTCATTCTTCCGACAATAAAGTATATTTTGATTTGATTTTATTTGAAAAATCTGGCGTGCATTTTTCATCACATTTTTTTAATATACTTTCTTTGGTTTTTATCCAGAAGAAAATATTTCATCATCATCCAATCATCCAACTGAAATGTGCCAAAACAGATGCTGAAATAGCAGCAATTGCTCCATTACATTTAGCAATATCTAATGTTAGTGTCATTACCACCATTGAATCTTCAGATACGTTATATAGCACAGACCAGGTTTGTAACAGATTTTCTTATAGACCTCTATTTCATCGTTCACATCAATTTACTCAATACAATTAATTATACCAGTGGCGTACTATTGATTCAATCATGTCAACGAATCAGATCAAACAACGAGGAGTAGCCATAATAATTGGAAAGTCTATAGAAGATTAGTTTCATTTTGCTTTTTTTCGATATTAATGATACTGGAATCGAGAGTAAAAGTGAATTGATCACTAGATATCAGCTCAATATAAGATATTGTAGTGAATTACCAAGTATACCAAAATGAAAATTGGGTTACTGCTCACTATACAGGTTGTCCGGAAAGGTCATGTCGTAAATGATTGGGCTGATAGAGTGAGCCAAAATAATATCAGTACCTACTTCATATAAAAAAAAATTGCTCCCGCACTTCGTTACGGAGTTATAGACCTTGAAAGTTCCATAACGAAGTGCGATAGACTTTTTTTTATATGAAGTAGATACTAACGTAATTTTGGCTCACTCTCTCAGCCCTGCAATTACCATGATGTTATTGAATAGAGTTTTTATTGCTTTTGAAATGGTTGGGATGTGTGTTTTTAAATTGCGATTTTCTCTAGAGAACGGTAAAAGATATCGATTAAAATAAAGTATGCCATATTGTAGAAGAAAAAAATGAAGGAACCAAACGGGGAAAGCAAAATATAAAATTAGTCGCACTTCTGTCAAAAATGCTTCTATTTGACTGGAAAAATTCGTCTCATTCTGTATGAAACATAATCACTGAACAGCGGTTTACATCATATCGAAAGGAGCATTAGAGTATGAGTTGATATAACATTGATACGATGGCGACCGTTCAAAAGTTATACTTGAGATATATTTTTTTTATTCTAACTTTCAAGATCAATAACTGCGTAACAAAGTGCGATAGAAATTTTTTTATATGAAGTACTAAGTACTACCATTTACGACATGCATGACCTTTCCGAACACCCTGTGTATTCTCATAAAGTTATACAGCTTATGCAAATTTCAATTGTACCATTAGAGGGCTAAAGTGTTTTTTTTTGTCCTTTGTTCAAAAGACAGGTGCAGCCAATTTTGTACGAAAAAAATCATTTTGTTGAAACTATGGCAATACAGAGGTGTATCATTGTCAAATTTAGAATATATGGCATAATAAGTATAATATGAAGATTTTGAGACTTCAAACAGGGTGATGATAATAGAAATGGGCAAACAATATTTCTAATGACAACACCGTGTATTTTGAAAACCAAGCCCTGTCGCCAATATAATAGCCTCTTGAAGTGTTTCCCACGTCTCACAAATAGTGGAGCACTCTGTATAAGTATGCCATGTAGACGAATTGTTTTCGGTACGCTACTGTTCAACAGATGCACTATTAGGATTTACACATATTTTATAGCATCAGATGGACTGGCGATACTTTCACTTATTATTTCGCCGCGAGGATCAAAATTACTATCACTTTTTGATATCTAGGCGAAAAAATTGCAATTGCTTCCACGAACAAAAGTAGGTAGGTAAGTACATATAAGTATATAATACAGTCAAGCATTTGTCAGTAACTATACGTTAACACAAAAAATACCAAAACATCAGTTGTATATCTTCACTCAAGAAATAAGTGAGTAGGTATAGTCCCGAAATTGAGAGTGAATGAAGATTCCTATTTTAAGTTCTTGCATTCGAGAGGATCTTGAAACGTTTTGTGAATCACCTTGCCCAGTTTCAATTTCTCACGAATTTCTATGCCAGAGACTCGTTTCAATTACTCTTATTCATTATATTCCCACTGAATGATGCAACCATTGTCATACTTCATGCCCGTTGAAACTGATATTATAATTAATCATACGCTCATTTTCCTCCATACAGGGTCCTCATTCCGACAATTTTTTGTTGCAGCAATTCGCTTCGAACATAGACAGACAGCCGCTATCCCTACAGCAGCAAGGTCAAATCCTCAGCGACATCCAACAACACCACAGATTCGATCTATCCAATCGACAAAACTTCCAGCCCCAGCATTTCCGCCCTTCCCAGAGCTCACCTTACAACCAGCAGTATCTATCAGACTCGGCACACAATGCTGGGCAACAGTTTGGACACAACAGTCAAGAGAATTTCGGCAAAAACGAGTTCCTGAATACCTTGCCACTAGTCAACTCTTTACCTTCGAATATTGTGCCTACCCCTCAGCAATCCTTCCAGCAAATCTCACCACCCACCCCGTCCAGCAATCAAGTAGCATTTCCCAGCTCCCAACAAGAGAACAAAGTTGTTCAACACCTTACCCAAACGAGTTTCCAACCGGGTTTCACCAGGAATTCGGATCCATACTTTAACCAACAACAATTCATCAAACCCAGACCTACAACTGATCCTATCGCCCAAATCGAACGTCAAATAAAAAACTTAGACCCGAACAAAGACAAAGAAAAGATACAGGAACTCCGAGAAAAACAAGCGATCATAGAAAAACACAACCAGTTTGTGGAAAAACAGTACGAAAAAGCTCTGAAGAAAGCTCAACTAGATCACGAAGAGTATCTAGAAAACCAGAAAGAACAGAAGAGGAAGCTCTACCAAAAAATCTATAAGCCAACAAGCGAACCTCGGCAGTACGTCCATTCTTCGAGACCTAGAGTGATTTACCCTGAAGAAGTAGGACTATTCGAGAAATCAATCAACCAGTACTATGTTGAGCACCCTACAACCACCACTACTACAACAACGACCACTACACCTAAGCCTTCGACTACAGTCTCACAAAATAGGATCATCAAGGTATCGAAATCACTTGCCTTCCTTCCAACTGCCTTACCTCAAACTAAGACTAAGACGATACAATCTTTGGAGGACTTGGACCAACTCCAGAAGCAATACAGATCACAAAAGATTCGCAAAGATGACTTACTAGAGCAACTGCGATTAGCCATCGGCAAGAGTCATGAAGAGGAGAATGGCAAAGCTTTGTCTTCGAGAGAAATATCTTTGTCTGACGGGAAAAAGATCCAGCTGATCTCAGCCGATGATAAAACAAAAATCCCTAAAGGCAAAGAAGAAGAAATAACTCTGCCTGACGGCAAGAAGGTTACCGTGATCAGAGCTGACGATCCAAACAACCAAAAAGACGAGGAAGTGATTCTGCCAAGTGGTCACCAAGTACAAATAATAAGAACTACAGATCCCAAAGCAATTCCTTTCGGTGACGGAGATGTTTCACAAGAGATAACGCTGCCAAATGGGCAGAAAGCTCAGCTGATCAAGAGTACTGCTCCTGTCCAGACTAAGGCTGCATCTTCATCTTCTATCAAAACTGAAGAGATAACTTTGCCTGATGGACAAAAAGTAGAAGTTATAAAGACCTCAGACCCGAGCTTAGTACCCGGAGCTGTTCAATTGGATCCTGGAAGCGACCTAGAGAAGCTGATACTTTCCAGAACCACCACTACAACGACTTTGAAGCCACCTAAAGCTATTCTGGATGAAATAACCAAGGACGTACCTGATTCTAACTATGAGCTTTTGAAGACTGGTGCCAGTGGAAGCTTAGAAACTATTGGTAAGAATCTACCCAACCAGAAGAAAGTCACCTTTGTTCTGCTGGAAGAACAGAGCGATGGTACTTTGAAGGTGCAGGGTATCAAGGGAAATGGTAAAGACAAGTCAGAAGTAGATATAGATAAAATCTTGAAAAAGATAAAGCAGGGAGAGATCAAATTACCTGATAGTCTAAGTACTAAAGAAAGTTTAACAACCGAAAAACCTGAAATTACAACTATATATAGACCAGTATCAGTTACAGTCACGCCTAATTCTTTTGCTTCTGGGGAAGAGGATGACTTGCCAACATCGACTTCAGGAAACTACTTCAACTCTCAGGATGATGCCAACATCCCTATACTGAAGACAAATATTGGTACTCAGATTATATCTTCGACTCCCAAGTCAGTTTACACGCAAGCTTACTCTACGTCGACTACTAGTACCACGACCCTTCGTCCTACAAAAAATTCGAGGTCGCCACATATCCTCAACCAACCCGTAAATGATCAAGTCAACCAAGCATCCAGCTTCTCTTCAACCAATCAAAATTCCATAATCAATTCGCCGAAACCAACTGCAATACCAGCTTCTGTTACGATACAGCAAAGCATTTCGCCAGACAATGTATTTCCTACTCAAGAATCGCTACCTTATGAAAGTAGTACCAACTCGATTTCAGAGATGCCAGATATCTTGAAACAGCATGGCATGTACGCTATGGCAAAATATTTGAAGCAGTCCGGTCTAGACCAGGTTTTGAACGAAACTGGGCCATATACTGTATTCGTTCCTACTGATAAAGCTTTCAAGGCTCTGTTGATCCAGCTTGGTGGTCCAGAAAGAGCTGACGAGAAGTTCAAAGAAAACCCAAGGCTCCTTAGTGGGGTAAGCGCTAAGAAATCTTAGTGATTAATTTAAATGCCTCTAGATGAAATATCAAATGAGCTTCCATATTATTAATCGAATAAATTATCGTCGATAGAAAAATAAATACTAAATATAAAATAATTATAATGAGCTGTTAGAGTCATGTTGGTCAATAGGGGTCGAGTTCGACCCTGATTCAAATTCGAACCGTATTTTTGACATTCCCATGTTTTTCAGCTTCTGTTGCATCACGTGATACCGGGGGCCTTCAAAATCGAAACTTTACAAGACGAAATGACTGGAGTTTCTCTAGCAGGCACCCAACTGAGAGTGAACCAATATAATATGCACGACAAAGAATGGAATGACATCAAGGTAAGTTTTCGTAAGAACTGTGGGAAATCTTAACAAATAAATGATTCTATAACTGAAACATAATTTCAGTTGCCTAATTTATATATTTTGTCGTCTTGTATCAGCCTTATTATCGTTCAAAAAATGGTTGTCAATGATGTCAAATCCATTTGATTTCGACCCCTATCTCCCCTATGAATCTACGAATGAGTGATTACGAAAAGTCGACTATAACCATTGTTTATTGTTAATTTTATCGTGAAAATGATTGTCATTAACGAATATGATTAGTAGTGTGTAAAATAATAATTAACTCTATATCTTATTATTTGGAAACACAGTAATTATTAAATCTCTTGCTTCTAGCACTCAGGGATTTGTTGGTCATATAATGCTCTACAAATTAATTTTGTTGTACTATAAATACTGGCACATCATTTTATTTCTCATAAAAGGAGTAAAGTTCTAGTCAGCATCTGAGGTATTCATCCGAATACCTACGTCTCTCAGACATATGACAATGTACGTCTTCAACCCATTCGACCCTGACACTACTTTTTCCGATTTTGTATATATTTTTCTCAAAAATGGTTGATAGAAGGTCCCATAAGTCGACAAAAAATTATAAAAAAATGTTCGATCTCCAGTTTTGGAAAATACAGCTCTCCCTTTAAAAGGACGGTAGGATAAAGGGCTACTGTTTGAAAACTGAAATTAATAATATGTTTATATTATATCATACAAAATGCTCAGCAAAATACTTGAAACTTTTAGAAACGAATTAGTATGATAGGCCAAAAAATGCGTTATCATAACCTCATCAAGGCTGTGATTCTCTTCGATTGGGGCATGATTGAAAAACCGTCACTATCGATTCGAAAGTTGACAAAATCCTAACGATCTCGATTGACCTTGTTTGAGATGTCAACAAAATATAATGTGTTACTGGCGACATCTTCAAACCGTCAGCTGAATCAGAAAAATACAGGTTTCGTTTTGAAGTCCTTTTGAAAGGACGGTAGGCGTAAATGGGTTAAGACGAACTTGAGTATACGTCTTAATGACGACTTATATAGACGTACTAAATTTGGCTGATTGAAGTACTGATGATAACTTAATATATTTTCAGATTACAACGATAAACGGTGCACAAATTTCCGACGAAAAATACGATATTGAAATACCTCAAGGTTATGCACATGCAATAGACAGGGTGATGTTTCCTCTACCAGTGGGAGACATTGTACAAACTCTACAATCGGACAGAGAGAGAAGATTCACAAGTTTCCTTAGAGCAATTTTTGCATCGGGGCTCGCAGATATGTTGCAAGGTGAGGAAATTTTTGAGGAACTGAAATGCAGAGACTGAAAAAGGTCATTTATCCAGTTTTGCCGAGTGACTATATTTTTTTACTTCAAATTTATATTAATGTCTTTTATGATTTTTTTTAAGGGACAAAAGTTTTCACCCTCTTTGCACCAACGGAAAAAGCGTTTGCCCCTCTTACACCAGCAGATATAAACAAAATAATACTAGATAAAGTGCTAGCAAGAGAGCTAGTAATGAGGCATCTTTTACCTGGAACTTTATACACGAATGGGATGAGATACTACCAAATCAAAGACAGTTTATTAGAAGATAAAACACTCACTTTCAGCAAACAGTCAGGTAAATACCTATTGATAAAGTTAAGAATATATAGGGTGAGTCATAACTATTGGGACATATTGTTTGGACCAGAATATGGTGATAGGACCAAATATGCCTCAATAAAGTATTGCTGTGGAAAAAGATACGTTTCAATCGTATTGACTATATAAACTCGCACCAAAATCAATTTACTGACAAGTAATGTATTTTATTACCAACAATTATCTGACAGTCCAAAGCACACTCTTCATAAATGAAATAATATTTGAAATCCCGCTTCCGAGACTTTGAAATGTTCAATTGCGTTTTTCTCGAAAACGGATGAAAATAACGTTTTTGAACAAGTACACCAATATTACATAGAAATTATGTTAATATGATATCTTCTAATCAAAATCACTAAACAGTTCCGTCAAAAAAAATTATCAGTCGATTTCATCATCAATTAATCATTCACGTGCCGTCCCATGTGACAAATGATATTCCCTGTATAAAATTATGCCTGTGCCGATTTTATTAACAATTATTGATAAACATAAAACGGAATTATTAGCAAAAAACGAAAAAAAATCTGTACTTTTTCCACAGCAATATTATATCAAGGCATATTCAGTCCTATCTCCATATTTTGATCCAAACAATCTGCCCGTGCCCTATGTCCCATTAGTTATCACTCACCCTGTATGTGTTTTATTTTTGTATGATGATTCAACTAGAGATTTGATTATATTTCTTTTTTTTTGTTTCAGGTAAAGTGAAGGTGAATAACAACAACCTAACAACCCAGAATATCCCTGCAACAAATGGTGTCATACATGCTATTGATTCTTTACTCTGATAAATCTTTATGACTAAATTATTCATTGATCATTTTTTCATCACTCATCTAACTGGCAGAGTCAAAGCAAACAGAAAATTCAAAAAAACTCAACAATAATGATGGTATTGATAGAAAGTGTATTTTACCTCATTCTTGTTTTAAAGACTGATATTTCAGATGTGCATTTTTCCTCATATTTTTTTCCAGTGTAAACAATACTTATTGTCTTCTATCATGTTGATCAGATTCAAATAATTGCATTTCTTGAAGGTTTATCTGAATTATTCATTTTTTGAACTGTTTAGCTATATTTTACCATTGATTATAAATATATTTTTTATTTTGTGATAGTTCCCCTCATCCAAGATATTGTGTTATGAATGCAATTTCAATTTATTATGACCCTTTTATTTAAATTATTTTAAGAATTGTACATTTTACTGTAATATACTTTATTTTTAGATAAAATATTGATTTTTAATTTTATTTTCACTTGAAACACAATTTTAATTTAATGATATGCAAATGATGCAAGGAATCAATTGAAACAGGAGTCGTACAAATTCTATGGATATTATATTTTTCTCAGGATACTTGTCAAATATATGGAAAAAAAAAATTAGAACAATTTTAGGACACTTTTTAGTCAAAGTTACATACTTCATTTAATAAAAAATTGGATGATTTCAAGAATAATTTCTCTTCACTGTAAAATACACAAATAATAGAAACATATTGAATGTGAGAATATAATATTATCTAAAATCTATTCTCTTTGTCAGTTAATTTGTAGTCAAAATAAAACATTGCAACACTCATAATCAGTGAGAATTTTAATGGAAGGAACAAAACATGTGCAATTCATTGTAATTGTATTGCCAGATTATTTAATATCCTGAAGAATTCCTCTATGAATATAACACACTTTTTTCCACTACTGATTTGAAATAGAACCTAAATATATGTTTCAAGACATCATGATTAGAAAATGATATTGGTTGGGGAGATCTTTAATGCTGCAGTATCTTAATTATCTCATAGCATAACTATTGAGGAGGCATGGGAAGTAGAAAATCATAGTAAGGAACATTATATTAAATTTTTATTCTTATTGGTGTTAAATAATAAAATAATGAACATTTACTTCTTCTTGGACACACCCACAGTACGACCGCGACGACCAGTGGTTTTAGTGTGTTGACCACGTACACGGAGACCCCAGTAGTGTCTCATACCTCTGTGAGCGCGGATTTTCTTCATGCGTTCCAAATCTTCACGCAGTTTTGAGTCAAGACTAGAGGATGTCAACTAAAAATGCCAGAACATTTTACTAATTCACAATCATATTGTTTTTTCTTCAGACAAAAACAATCAATAATTCATTGTAGCAAATTACAGAAGTTTAAGGAGGCATTTTCAAAAATTACACAATTTGCTTCACAGATACCACAATCAGTGACTGGTCCACAAGATTGAGTCTAGAGAGGAAAATTACCAAACAATTTGCCATTTATTTTGCACAGGCTACCAGCAATATCATTACTGATCAACAGATATGCCGTTTAACTGTGCCAAGAAGTCACACTATATATAAAACATTTACTGAGGGATCAGAATTCTTACTCACCTGACTGTATTTTCCATCAATGATATCCTTTTGCCTATTCAAGAACCAGTCAGGGATTTTGTACTGGCGAGGATTGGACATTATAGTTATGATTTTTTCGACTTCTTCATCAGAGCATTCTCCTGCGCGTTTGTCCAAGTTTACATCTGCCTTTTTCAAGACAATATTGGCATATCGTCTACCCACACCCTTGATGGCCGTTAAGGCGAACATCACCTTTCTTTTGCCATCGATGTTCGTACCCAGGATACGAAGAATGTGTTGGAATTTTTCAGGTATCACCAAAGACTGAAAAGAAAATATTTGTTACTAAGTTAGGTTAGGACACAAATACCAAACTATTTTCGAATAGAAAAATGCCAATACCATTGAAATCAATTATAGCATAGATTTCTGATTCATTACACTTTTTCTCATGAAATTTATTTATATGATGGCTGAAATTAACTAAGATATTCGTAAAATAAAATCTTACCATTTTGATGAGACGCAAGACGTCAAAGTCAAAACAAGAAAAGGTAGACAGAAAAAATCGTCTTCTTCTTCTTCCTAATTTTTGTACATTAGATTAAGGACATTGGGGATAAGTCCTTCCAACTCGTTCAATCTTCTTTTTTTAAATAACGAAAATATTTAAGTTGAAACTACTTTCCCATAACAATGTTAACCGTATCTAATTTTCGAACTACTCCAAACATCGTGCTCCAAACAAAACATGACAGCATGACAGCAAATTGGCATTTCATTCATTTGTTTATGTACTAATCCAAATTTCGTAAAAATTGTCTAGTATTTGTAATACATCTCAATAAAAATGAGTCAAAATAACAATAAATACATTCAGGTAGCAGGAAGTACAGCGGGGATCACAAGCAGCGACAAAGTGGTACAAGACATATTGAACACCTTCACAGACCTCAGACATTACTCAAGAGAAATTGAAAATGAACTGAAAACCACAGAAAACCAGTCGATAAAAGTGTATATGAAAGAAAGTGAAAACATAGCAAGTCTGCACAATCAGATATCTGCCTGTGATCAAATTTTGGAACGAATGGAAAACATGTTACTAGATTTCCAGAATGATCTTGGTAGCATAAGTTCTGAAATACTCACTCTGCAACGTAAATCTATATCAATGAGTCAAGAGTTGACAAATAGGCAAGCAATAAGAGGCCAATTGAGTCAATTCATAGATGATATTTCAGTTCCTGAGACACTCATAGAGGGAATTATGGACCTAACTGTTACTGATAAAGAATTTTTGACACAACTACAGATTCTGAACCATAAAATAAGTTTCTTGAAAGAGCAGAGCTTCAAAGACACCAAGTCCTGCCATGATGTGAAAGACATTCTTGAAAAACTGAGAAATAAGGCAATGTCAAAAATTAGAAATTACTTGTTAGAGCAAATATCCAAATTTCGCAAACCTATGACAAATTACCAAATCCCCCAAAATAACTTATTGAAACATAAAGGTCACTACCAATTCTTACTCTCAAATGAAAGGAACATTGCTGAGGAAATTGCTAATGAATATATAGACACCATGAGCAAAATATATTTTTCATACTTCAAATCATATGAAAGCAGAGTCATGAAATTGCAATTTGAGGAATGCACTAACATGGATGATTTGATGGGTATTGAAGATACAGGTACAAGAGGCATCTTCAATAAATCATTCAAGCATAAAGCCACTGTTTTCACTATTGGAAATAGGGGGGATGTCTTAGCTCAGCAGTTAGAAGCTCCAATCATTGTCCCACATGCTGAAACCAGGAACAGGGTAATTTCAAATATGTCATATTTCTAATGAAAAAAAAACAATGAAGTTCTTTTTCAGTATCCATTTGAGGATTTGTTTCGTAGTATTCAATATGCTTTAGTTGATAATGCCTGTAGGGAATACCTCTTTATAAGTGAATATTTCATGGCAAAAAATCAAGCTGCACTGGATTTATTCAACAAAATTATGGAAAAAACTTTGACCCTCCTTCAGGTAACCCTGAGATTGAATATTTCTTGTTTTGGTTCTATCCTAATTGATTTTTTTAGAAAAATCTAAGGACTTACATGTCTTCCTGCTTTGATTCCATAGCAGTCTTCTTATGTTTCCATCTAGTTTTGAGGTACAAAATAATGTGTCATAAAAGATGTGTCCCAGCCTTAGATGAGCACTGGGAAATGTTGGAAAATATTTTACTCCCAAGATTCCAATATATTGTTCAACTGAATATCAAAAGTATCAGAGACTGTGATGTAACAAAGTTTAATCTGGAATTGGGACCTCATTATGTAAGAAATCTGCTTCCTTCATTTATTCAATTGGAAATTAATAAAATGTAGATGTGGTGTAGAAGGTTCATGTCTTCTAGAATACTTTTTTTTAGATTGCTAGAAGGTATGCAGAATTCAGTGCTGCCCTAGTAGGAATAAGTGAAAATTTCCCAAATGAACTAGTCAGTAAATTGTTGGCAGAACTCCAGGAGGAAGTAGAAATGTTCATTTTCAGAATGGCAGGAGCATTTATAGAACGCAAAGATCAACTGATATTCCTGATAAATAACTATGATATGATATTGAGCATAATCATGGAAAGGACTAGAGACAATTCCAAGGAGGCAGAAGTATTTAAATCAAGATTAGCTGCTAAAAGTGGAGAATATGCAGAGCAGATATTGTTTCCTCATTTTGGGGAAATGATCCAGTATGTCAAAGAATGTGAACATTACTTTGAGCACAGCAAAATAAAAGAACTGAAAGCAATGGAACCCAAATCTATTGAAATTGTTCAAAATTTCACAAACAATTGGAAAAAATCCCTTGAAGATTTGAACAGAGAAGTGTTGATTTCATTTCCTAACTTAGTTACTGGTTCCAGCTTACTTCAGTTAGCTCTTACTCAACTTGTGCAGTATTACCATCGATTTCACAAGCTTCTGAGTCCCCAAATTAGGGCACAGTTAGTTAATATTCACCTAATAATGGTAGAAATGAAGAAATACAAAACATCTTTCTGAGAAGGAATCTTTATACATGATGATTTATACCAAATTGAGTACTTAAAGCCTTTTTTATAATATTGAGATTATTAATTTAATATATTATTATTTATTATATCATAAATTTACCTGTTGAAAGTGTTTGCTTTCAAATTTCCCTCCGAACATGAGAAGAACAAAGTATTTCAACAGGTATTTCATTGTTTCATGAGTAGTATTTTCATTTTGTGTCAGAGTTCGGTTTTCTTCCTTTCTAGAGTCAATGACGAATGACGGCTAAATATCAAGAAGATGTCATCAACGACAGCGGACAGATCCCAATGAACTTCAGTTGTATTGAGTTCATTGACAGATCCTCGTCTCCTCTCACTCTAAAGTGTTTGTGAAACAGTTATATAGTTCCATCCTTATTCAATTCTGATTTTTGACATTTGTTGTTTTTTAGGTTATATTGAGATCATTGGCGTATCATACGTAATTTCCATATGGAAATCCATATTGAGATCATTGGCGTATAATACGTAATTTCCATATGGAATTCCTGATTCAACTATACCAAGACATAATTGAACAATCATCTAGTTTTAGAGTTTACTACTCCAGCATAATCTTTGCGAGGTAGGGAACATATAATTTGTACTAAAAGCTTGATATATTTTACCAAAAGAGACTGTTCTTAGACTGTATACCAGAATTGACTGAATGAATTCTGATTTCAAGCTGAGCAGTAGTTACGTCCATGAGTTTAACCAAAGAAGATTAACGCTATCTCGTCTGAGATACGTATACATCTTCGTACATCTACGTACGTGGATTGATTATATTAAGGACCTTGAAGGCCAAACGTTGTGCTGCTCGGATCTAAAACTATGGATCAATTTCAAATTTGAATCGTGAGACCTACATAGAATATTGGATATTGTTTTCAACATTCGTAACTAGAACGCGATATATTTCTGTGATTCATCAATTCATCAACTATATCAATGAAGACGAGGCAGGCAGATAAATAACAATTTTCTCTGCAATGAAGAACACTGTATATACCTAACCTACCATGCGCCTACCTCCTTTGCCGAGTTGATACTCTCCCCTCGTATAAGGGTACCTGTCGTTTCTTCATAGAGACATACAGGTGAATATCTGTCTTAGCTGTTTTCTTGGTCAGTTCTCTTTGTGGATCTTCTGTTCGGTCCGTATTTACTGGATGGTTTTTTCATATTGAGTGACAAGAATCAAACACTGCTTCTTGGATCTGCAACTAAACATCACATTAAAATCGAAGTATATTTGAATCAGAAAATATAATTGGAGGAAATACATATAGATGTTGAATCTGAGACATACCTGAATAATATTTACAACATCCGTAACTGCTACTTTTCCGCTTCCTTTCCGTATAGTGGTTTTTTCAGTAGGCATCTTCCACATGTCCAATTACGTAGGTAATTTTAAGGACCTTGCATGCCAAACAATGTGCTGTTCGGATCTAAAACTAAGGATTTCAAATATGAATCGTGTGAGACCAACATAGAATATGAATCTATGAAAAGTCTGGATATTGTTTTCAACATTCGTAACTGGAACGCGATATATTTTTGTAATTCATCAATTAACTATCCCAATGAAGACGAGGCAGGCAGATAAACAACAATTTTCTCTGCGATGAAGAACACTGTATATACCTAACCCACCATGCGCCTACCTCCTTTGCAGAGAGGGTTTATAAACGCCAAGTTGATACTCTCCCCTCGTAAGGGTACCTGTCGTGTTTCCATAGAGACATAAAGCTGAATATCTGTCTATCTATCTGCTTGAGAATCTGGAAAGGTGATCAATATATCGCCTTCCGTACGAATATAATGATCTGAATTCTGTAAAGTATACTCTGGTCAGTTCTCTTTGTGGATCTTCTGTTCGTTCCGTATTTACTGGATGGTTAATTTCTCCGATTGAGTGGCAAGTATCAAACACTGCGTCTTGGATCTGCAACTAAACATCACATTCAAATCGAAGTACATTTGAATCAGAAATATCATTAGACGGAATACATAGATGTTGGATCTGAGACATATACCTGAATAATATTTTCAATGTCCGTAACTGCTACATATATCCGCTTTCTTTCCGTATAGTGGTTTTTCCAGTAGGCATCTTCCACATTTCCAATTACGTGGGCGTTATATTAAGGACCTTACATGCTAAACAATGTGCTGTTCGGATCCATAGAAATTTCGGATCTAAAACTAAGGATCAATTTCAAATATGAATCGTGTGAGACCAACATAGAATATAAATCTATGAAAAGTCTGGATATTGTTTTCAACATTCGTAACTGGAACGCGATATATTTTTGTAATTCATCAATTAACTATCTCAATGAAGACGAGGCAGGCAGATAAACAACAATTTTCTCTGCGATGAAGAACACTGTATATACCTAACCCACCATGCGCCTACCTCCTTTGCAGAGAGGGTTTATAAACGCCAAGTTGATACTCTCCCCTCATAAGGGTACCTATTTCAGAATATACTATAAATGGTATATTTAATAAAATTCTATCTTGAAAATTCGTGTCAGAATCTATTTTTTATTTTTCTGTCTAACTGACATTATTATTTTTTTATAATATACTATATGTACATGAAATTAACACAATCATAAAAAGAACATCTTCAACATTTCTCCCCCCTTAGTTTTGAAGCCATATCATGTCGATAAATTCAAAACTTATAAAACTAATCTTCGTCTTTTCGTTATTACTCTTCTGTTACATGAGACAATCTACATATTTTTGCAACTGGTCGTCTGAAGGTACCATTCTTCATTTTCACGTCGACAACTCTGACTTTGCCATCTTTCCCATTATAAACTCTCTGAATCACTCCCAATGGCCATGAATTTCGAGCTTGTGTGTCATCCACGACGATGACAACGTCATTGACTTTCACATTCTTGATGTCCGAATGCCATTTGCCCTTCTTATTCAAGGTGGGTAGATATTCCTTCACCCATTGCCGCCAAAACATATCAGACAATGCTTGCGAAACTCTCCACTGCTTTCTGAGGTTGATTTCTTTCGAGTCGAATTTTCCAGTCACTGGAGATGCTCCACTTGATGAGTTGAGGAGAAAGTGATTTGGTGTGATGCTCTCAGGGTCATTTGAATCTGAAGATACATACGTCAGAGGTCTGCTATTGACCATATTCTCAGCCTCAACAACCAACGTATACAGAACTTCTTCTTTCGGGCATCTTTCTTTCAGTGTAACTCTCAACACGGACTTAACACACTTGATCAACCTCTCCCAGCTTCCTCCCATGTGTGGTGAAGCTGCTGGAATGAATTTCCAATTTATTTCTTTAGTGGTCAGATACGCTGAAATGTCTTCTTTCTTCAAGTTTTTCACAGCATTTTTCAATTCTTTGTTAGCTGAGTGTAGATTCGTTCCGTTATCGGAATGAATTTCTCGTGGATAGCCTCGCCTTCCAATGAATCTACGGATTGCCATAATCGCAGAATCGGTATTCAAAGTACTGGCAATTTCCAAATGAACAGCTCTCACACTCATGCATGTAAAAAGTACTATATATCGTTTTTCGTGTCTTCTCCCGATAGTCACCGTAACAGGTCCAAAATAATCCATACCTGTTATGGTGAATGGTCGGACGAAGCTTTGAAGTCTGCATTCTGGTAATTGTCCCATCTGCGGAACAGCTGGCTTTGCTCTAGATTTTTTACAATAAAAACAATTATTACTGCACGTTCTGACAGCACTTCTTATTTTCAGTATCCAAAATTTCTGTCGAATTTCATTGATCAAAAGCTCCTGTCCTTGATGTTGAAATTTATTATGATAATCTTCAATTAGCAATTTCGTGAAACGATGTTTTGGGTCTAGGATGATGGGAAATTTCTGGAAAAAGTTCAAGTCCTCAGAATTTTGAAGTCGTCCTTTGATTCTCAGGATTCCTTCCTCGTCTATGAACGGTGATAAAGAAAGTAGCTTGCTAGTGTTACATACTGATTTCTCTTTCTTTAGATCTGATATTTCTTCAGGAAAACAAATGCTCTGAATGTATTTGAGTAAAATTCTCTCAGCCCTCTCTATTTCATCATTCTTCAGCTCGCCTGTTATTTTCTCTCTTGTTCTACAATTTTCTATAAATCTCATCATCCATGCTGTTGTTCGAACAAGTCTTCTATATTTTGAAAATCGTTGAACATCAGGTAGATAACTCTCGACTATCCTTGTGATCAAAACTTTTTCTTTTTTTATTTCCAGCATATCCAAGTTCAGTTCTTCCCTCTTTTCTTTTGGCCAAGATCCTGAGGTAGACCTTAGAAACTCTGGACCATCTAACCAATTGTTATTTTTGTTTGGAATTTGCCGAGTGCTCTCATCTGCAACATTTTCTTCCCCAGGAACCCAACACCAACTGGAGACGTCTGTCAGTCCTAAAATTTCGCCGACTCTATGCGAGACGAAGGTCTTGAATCTTTTTGATTCTGATCTTATCCAATACAGTACGGTGCTCGAATCCGTCCACAGATAAGATGTCGATATTTTGATTTCTAAATTACTTTGAATGGTGTTCATGAGTCTACTCAGCATAACAGCTGCTTGAAGTTCGAGTTTCGGTATACTGAGTTGTTTCAATGGTGCTACTCGAGTTTTAGCACTGACGAAGGCTACGTGGATGATATTTCCAACCACAAAACGTAAATAGACCACTGCAGCGAATGCTTTTTCACTGCTGTCGCAGAATCCATGGAGTTCTATGCAGGTACTTTGTGATAAATTAGGTCCGTACCACCTTGGAATGAATATTGTTTCAATTGATCGGAATTCTTGCATCAGGTGAGTCCACCTGGACTCCATTTCTGGGGTAATCATGTCATCCCAACCAATTCCAAGGCGCCATATATCTTGCATGAAAATTTTGAATTTTATAATCAAAGGTGACAAAAATCCGAGTGGATCAAAAACAGACATAGTCAACTGAAGAACTTCTCGCTTAGTTGGGAATTTCGAAGAATTCATCACATTTGGATTGACTTTATGGCAGTGAGTAGAGAATGTGAAATCATCAGTTTCTGGTCTCCACCATAAACCCAGAATCCTCTCTGATGGCTCCTGACAGAACGAATTCAGTTTTTTCTGAGATTCAGATCGAAGTTCATCTGGAATGGTTCTCAAAACCTCCTGGGAATTGCATATCCAATTGCAAATCTCGAAACCGCCCCGTCTGTGAACTTCAATTACCTGAGATATTAGTTGTGCTGCTTGAACTT